TTTGATAATTTTCCTACGAATTATCACTCTTTTATTTATTAATACATTTTAATTTTTAATATTCTCCAAAGTAAATACAGCCCGTGCATCGCACGGGTTACATACTAGTTATAATATAGAAGGGCAAATACAATTAACAAATATTATCAGTTTAAATACAAATAATAATGTTATTTTAAAACTATTTCAAACTTAAAATATAAACTTACTTTTTTTTTCATTAATTGAGATACACATAATAATTTTATTTACACCCGAATATTGTATTCTATCAGTTTACCTTAAATTACCAACCACAAATTTGAGATCAATTATAGAAAAATGCTACAATTTCGTTGCAGAACCATTCTGTCGGGATTTGTAACCGTTAGATAATCATGTAACCATCGTGGATAGTTGATCTAACGATTATAAACTCCGACAGAATGGTTCCGTAACGAGACTCTAGAGTCTCCCTCAATTATATTGACATTAACTATGTATATAATTTCACAGATTGACTATGGGTGTGTTTGGTAAAACTAGCTGATAAGCTAGCTGATAGCTGATAAGCTAGCTTATAGCTTATATGTGATAAGCTAGCTTATAGCTTATAGCTTATGACTTATAGCTTATAAGCTAGCTTATATGATAAAAGTGTTTGGTAAAAGTAGCTTATAAGCTAGCTGAAATAAAAAATTCAACGAGCTTATTTTGAAACGCTACCTAAACAAGCTTATCAAATAAGCTCGAGCTTTTTAAATAAGCTCGTCCTACCAAACAGGGCTTATTTAATACAGGAAGCTTATAAGCTAATCAAATAAGCTATAAGCTAGCTTATATGTCATACCAAACATACCCTATATAGTATACATATACATTTTCCTTTTCCCTCTCTTAAATACAATCTTGATAAGACATAAAAAAAAAAGTATTATTTTATTTCAACCATCAGATCTCAAATTCGTGTAATTGCTTTGTCCATTCATCAGCTCACCACGTTCTTCACAGGCACCCGTCGTCTCCATCTCGTTCAAAGGCCATCAACAAAGGTATTCAGATTCATTTGTTAATCCCTCAAATTTCAATGATCTTAACCTGTTTAGATTTTTAATTTTGCTCGCTGAGTTTTGTATGTATAAGCGTGTCAAGCCTGCTTGAGTTCTCTCATGCTGTGGATATCTGATTCGGTTTGGCCATTTGAAGTGATCCATGGAAGTTTAATGGATAATTGATTGGCGTTGTTTTTTCATGTTGCTGTGTATGGTATAGATGTATTTTTGCTGCTCATCAATGGTTTTTGTTTTGTTAAAATTGTCCGAAGGGAGCGCAGATTGGATCACTTTCTGCAATCGCCTCTGTATTTGCTGATAAATTTGCGCTTTTACGTGTAGAGATTTAAGCTGGAAGCTCCTAAGGATGATAGATAATTTGATGCCAATTTGTAATGAATGAATGTTGAAAGTAACTTGCTAAGCTAAAATTAACTCATGAAGTTAGTTGGAATTTGTAAGAAGGTTTCTATTAATGGTCAGGTTGACATAAAGATATGGTGAATAAATAGAGTGGATCAGAATTTTCTGTATACTTGGTAAAAAGTAATAGATGTAGCTATGGCCATTTCTGTTTTGGAAGCAGATATGGAAGTTTCTGTAGATGAAGGGTTGAGTAGTAAGTATATGTATGTATATATATTTGTCTAAAATTTCTGTTCATTATGGTTGCTTCTATTTGTATTCGTTTTGATAATTTTCCGTTTGTTTCTTGTGTTGTTATCATGGATTTGTAGGTTCAATATGGGTGCAGAAAACCACATTGAGATTGAGGCTGGAACTCTGGAAATTGGAATGGGTATGTTTTTGAGCAAGTTATATTCTCGTGATCAACATAAATGGATGCTTCTGTACGTCAGTACATTTGTGCCTATGTAACCATCCATCTAAAGCTGATTATCGTAGCCTCTTAAGTCTTACCATATACCTGCACTTCATGGATCATTCAAGTTCTTGGACTAGATAAGACTAGAAGCTTTGTTGCAATGTGGAAAAGCTGAAACTAGAACATATTAGTTATTTGTTCATAGTTAATATGAAATTGTTGTCTGTCCACAAGGAATTGTGTTTTACTCTTTTTTCTTTTTAACTTAGTTTCAAATGTTTGCAGAATATAGAACTGTGTCTGGAGTTGCTGGACCTCTGGTTATTCTTGACAAGGTCAAGGTAAATGTTCTTATGCATATCATCTTTGTGGAGTTACACATACTTCACTAGCTGTGTGCAATGTGTATATAGTGACAGTACCACTTATATGTCTTTATAAATATTATGCCAGGGACCCAAGTACATGGAAATTGTGAACATTCGCCTCGGAGATGGTACGACCCGGCGTGGGCAAGTGTTGGAGGTTGATGGAGATAAGGCTGTTGTTCAGGTGATCCCCATCAAAATTCTTACATTTGTTTTTCTTTTGATGGACTCATTTGATGTAGCCTGTAGATACTTTGTGAGATTTGGATAATTTGCTACTATCGAATTTTCTGATGTCTGTTATTTCTTCATTTCATTTATCTATTTTGTTTGTTTGCTTGTTCTGTGACTTTACTGTTTGGTGATAGTTATTTTGGGCTTTAGCAGATTTTTTTTATTCATTAATTGTTAGACTTACATTTCTGTACTTAAAAAAAAAAAAAAAAA